TAGCTTGACTCGTATTAGTTAATCGAGAATTTTGTACATTGAACGTACATGAAGGTTTTGTTGCTAAAACGTCAGGCGTTAGAACATTACTGTTTGGTTGTGAAAGGCTAGAATTAGATGACTGATTAGTTTTTGTTGTTGGTGCGAGATTTTGTACATTGATATTTTTCGATGCTTGCATATCCAATGTTTGTAAAGATACAAGACTGTTTTGGACACAAACATTTAACACAGGACTGGATTCTTGAGGAACATTTACACTTTTCTGATTATTTGATTTTGAGCATACTTGCACATGCTGTGGACTAGTTGCACAAGTAACACTTTGTGGAGCTGTCGAACTTACAGTAGTAGTAACCGTTGAAACACTGGATGATGAAGGTGATTTAACAAATTTTTGTCTCTGTAGCACAGTACTTTGTGTAGATTGTGTTGTCGTTTGCGCTTGTCCAAGAAGGTGAGAAATAATTGGGGAATTTTGTCCACCACCTTGTGTTAATGATCGTATCAGTGCTTGAGCAGTAGCTTGATCCATTTCAGGCTGATTTAATTCTGGAGTACGATGCAAAACAACTCTTCCATCCTCTCCTAGAGCAAATCGTAATTGTCCTTGTACATTTTGCACAGGCATTTGAAGTTGGGCAACAAGTTGGCTATTAAACGTCTGAGACGCAGAAGTTTGTGTATTCGTTGTATTTGGTGCAGGTACTTGTATCAGATTCTGAGCAGAACTGGTAGGTATCGTTACTTGGGACGAAAGTTGTCCCAGAGTTTGTCCCGAACTTGAATCAACTTGAACTTGACAAGAAACATCTGATTCAGTTGTAAGATCAGTATCAAAAATATCATCATCATCTCCAATTCCTGATATTTTCATTATACTAGCAAGATCCAATTTTGGTGGTTCATCATCTTTCCGTTTTGTTTTCTTTTTCTTTTTAGCTTTTTTCTTAGGAGGTGGTAATAAAGATTGTTCAACAACAGCTTGCGTACATGGAGTATTACCAGTATTAGAATTCGATCCTACTTGTGAGATTTGTGGTTGAGGACTTTGTACCATTGCATTTTGAATCACTATAGAATTACCAGTCCCTGAATTAGCAGCTACATTAGGAGATAAGTAATTTTAGTGTTTTTACAATTTTTTATACTAAAATATATTTAAACAAATTATCAAATATAGAAACTTACAAGGTGCTGGACTAGAAGGAGTATGTCTAATTACTGGAGATGCAGCTGGAGGAAAACCATTAGGTACAGCAAAAAACGTAGGTGTAATACCTTGTAACTGCATACCTTGTGCTGTCACAACTCTAACTAATTGCTGTTGAGTTAGCTATAAAAAGAAAATAAATTTACAGAAGAAGTAAACATACTTTTTTCATTATATTAATAAAAAAAATTCAAATTTTTTTTTTCATATTATTGTTCTAATATATTTTTTTAATTTATTTACATTAAAGTAATTTATCTGAAACTTAGATGCTAAATATGAAACATAAAATGTATATAAAATCCAATTGATGACATAGCATGTAAAAATTCGATGTATTTAAATAATATTTAAAATGAGATGTAAAAAATAGATTTGTAAAGTATTAAGTAAGCAATGACTGTGAATATGATGAAGAATGGTTGAATGAATGAAACCATCACCTGTGCAGTATGTGTTTGTTGCTGGGCACTCGCTGGCGTTCTTAGTATGAGTTGAACACCACCTGGTTGTTGCTGTACAATAACGGGTCCAGTTGACGGCAAAACCTATGTATGAAATGTGATAAACATATGAAGCACAAAGCAGATATTCGTGACACCAAAATGCACGTAAGCTGTTACAATAGATATCAAGCATATTAAAAATACTACACATAATATTGATAACTACTGGAATAGGCACAATATACCTTTAAATGATCACATAACAAACATGCGTATCATTTTCGATAAACATCTTAAATAGATGTTATTACCTGATTTAATAATAGACCTTGTGCTGTTGGTATCATTGTAGCTGTTGTAGGACTTGGTTGTGGTCCAGCAAGAACTAACTGTGGTTGAGTTTGTTGTGTCACCTTATAATAATTCAACAATTCAGATTTTATCAAGAATAAATAATACGTTTACAAAAAAAATTCGAATAGGTATACAACAATATATTACTTGATTTGTAATTGTGGTAGTAACACGTTGCTGTTTTTGTTGTGATCCAGCAGCTTGTTGGTTTGGAGGTTTTGGTAAAATTTGTGGTGGTTGTTTTGTAGGCTTAGTTGCAGCTATTTGAATTTGTTGATTTCCAATCAAATGTGTCCTAGTCACTAGTTGCGTTGGTGTTGATTGATATCCCTGTGGTGTTCCGTGAATTATTTGCAATACTTGCATACCTTGTTGGAGTATTGGTGTA